GACTTCCTAGCCCTGCGCCTAGCAGGACTTAATAGGGCAGCCCATCCCCATAGTGAACACACCCATGATATGTTCCCCACGCTCACCTCCCCCACATCCCCCCACACCCCAAAACAGCCTAACCTCATCAGAGCGGCGCAAGAATGGAGCCGTTCTAAAGGAACTTCATACATCCCCTCCCTGCCCCAACACAAACACCCTGCAGTTCCTGGGAAAGCTTTCCTGGCACCGATCCCTCCCAGAAAGGGTCTGAAGAACCCAGGGAGGCCTGGGAAAGGTTGCCCCCAGGGAGGGGCGAAAGGAAGCCTGAATCACAGCTTACAGGGTATTTGCCAACACTTGGGGCAGAGCCCTGCAGGAACCCTGGCTCCTCCTCCCTACCCTCAGCAACCGGCCTGATCTAGCCCCATGGGGAAAAGAACACCCTAGGGATGTTATAGTGTAGTCGATTAACCGATAAGCAGGTGAATGCTATAGACGACACACATTGCCCTCCCCCTCCTTGCCCGTACATTTTTTAGCAGGCTGGCCAGCAGCCCGGCTCAGTCTGGGACCTACCCCGCTGCCGGCAGAGAAATTTCGGTCTTTGATCAATACCTGCTTGATCCGTCTGTCTAACCGCGCCTGCCACACTCAGGCACCCATATCCCCGAGAGGCCAGGAGCTCAAGAGTGAGAGAGATTAGACAGACTGGCATCCTAGAGGGAAAAGGTCCTATATCCACTCCCTGATCCCCCCGAGTCAGCTGGTTCCCCCCAACCTCGGGTGGGTTTAGGACTGGCACCCCCTAGCAGTGAAATACTCCATATCCCATTCCTGTACTCACACTGGGGTCAGCTAGGTGTATTCTGTATTTTCCAGAGATGTCAGGCCCTGTACCCTGTTCCCAATGTCCCTCATCCAAAGAGCCAACCCCCCCAAAAGTATGAAAGCGCACAAGGAAAAAAGAGTCCCCTTGGTGAGGCCGTACATCCTCTCAGTCAGATCTGGCGCCAAATGTGCCCCATTAGACGAGTTGCCCACAGCTTGCGTAAAGCACGGAGGAAATTGGGCAAGATTTGCATTTGAAACCAGCTGTAGCAGCTCTGCTCTCATATGCCGTGGTGCTGGCAGAGTGCAGGTCGTTTGGCACAGGCTGGGTAACTGTGTAGCAGGGAAAAAAAAGTTCAGAAAAGGGCAACAAAAATGATGAGGGGATTGGAACGAATCCCGTGTAAAGAGAGATTAACAAGACTGGGACTTTTTCAGTTTAGAAAAGAGGAGACTAAGGGAGGAGATGCTAGAGGTCTATAAAATCATGACAGGTGTGGAGAAAGTGAATAAGGAAAAGTTATTTACTTGTTCCCATAACACAAAAACGAGGGATCACCAAAAGAAATGAATAGGTAGCAGGTTTAAAACAAAAGGAATTTTTTCTTCATGCAATGCACAGTCAACCTGCGGAACTCCTTGCCAGAGGAAGTTGTGAAGATTAGGACTTTAACAGGGTTCAAAAAAGAGCTAGATAAATGCATGGAGGTGAGGCCCATCAATGGCGATTAGCCAGGATGGGTAGGGACGGTGTCCCTAGACTCTGTCAGAAGCTGGGAATGAGTGAGAGGGGAGGGATCACTTGATGATTCCCTGTTTTGTTCATTCCCTCTGGGGCATCTGGCATCGGCCACTGTGGGCAGACAGGACACGGGGCTGGATGGGTCTTTGGTCTGACCCAGTCTGGCTGTTCTGATGTTAGCAAAACCAGGCACCTGCTGGTGAAGTGAGACCCTCCGGGCGGGCAAGTGCAATGTGGGGTTTTTAGCTGCATCCCAGGGCCTGAGGGCAGGGGGCTGCCTTCAAGCAAGAAACAGAGGTAAGGGTGTGAGAGTTTGGCTGGTCATTACTGATGGCCGCAAAAGGAATTACACAGCATGTCCCCCCGAAATCTCCCCAAGGAGACACCCTACACCAGGCGATCCGAGAAGATTTATAAATGGATCACTGAAGATTAGCAAGGCACGCTGTAGTCCAGGTCAGGTTACCTGCCTGTATTTCTACCCGGGCTCGGCTCTAGAAATAACAGCATGACCTCCAGGGCCATACCGGGCCAAGGCGGGAATACCAAGCAGGAAGATTTGTGAGGGGAGCATTGCCTGGTGGCTAGAGCAGGAGGACTTGGCTTCTGGGTCCTGTCCCCAGATTTAGGAGGAAAGTGGAGTCCAGGGGCTAGCGAAGGCTGGGCTGCAAATCAGGATCTTTGCTCTGCCCCTGGTGTTCTGCTTCTGACAGTGGGGGAGAAAGAGGGACCATTGTCTGATGCTCAGGGGGGGGGCATCCTGGGGTTTGACTTCATCTCGGTTGATGCCCTGCACGGTTAGACAGGCTGAACCTCTCTAGTCTGGCGCCCGCGGGACCCGGCTGGTACCGGACCAGAGCATTTGCTGAACCACCGGAGGTCAATATTGTCCAGCAGCATGGCCAGCGCTGCCCCTGCTTCCTGGGCTCTGCGACGACATTAAGGGGTCAGTTGGAGCTAAAATACAGCCCAGAGCCCTGTGAGCCAGGCCTGGGGGCTGTAAGCAAACTGTGTGGGGCCGCAGGAAACTTGGCCACCCCCATGCTAAGTGGGCATCCAGCTGACTAAACTCATGCTGGACCACTGAGGTTGCTGGACCAGAGAGGTTCAACCTGTACTGGGAAAATCATTTTCCCATCCCTCCCCCTCCATCCACCCACCTACTGCTCTGTCCATCCCACCCCTCCCCCTCCCCCTCTATCCATCCCCCCACCCACTGCTC